GTTTTTGACCAAATGGATGTTTTTGAAAAAATATTTACTAATGAATATACTTTTAAAAGTATTTACTAAATAAGGTGTTTTTGAAAAAACTATTGGCCTTAGCTCCACCGTTTCACCTGTCACACCACCATCATCGGCAAAAGCTCCAGCCTGCCATACAATACGACGACGCCTCCACATTCGACCACACCGACTGGCGATTTCATCTCAGGTATGGTTTTTTTACATTGATTTTTATACATTGAACATTGATTTTGTGACTCCATCGACATCTCTATCATGTTCTCACTTGATTATGTTCGAATTTTGAACTTTCTTATCTGTATTTGTGAGCAATTGTCGAGATTTTCGTTGAATATACTTAGGTTTTGATTTTTGAATTGAGTATACTAGGTGCTGAATTGGTATATTGGATTGAATATACTTAATTAGATATACCTGATGGTTATAACAAACAGTGAATTATGAGTTTGAATTTTGGTATAGAATTTTGCTTACGTTAGATTGCTTAGGTTAGATTTATGAGAGTACTGGTTTTCAGTTTTGCATTGATGCTGTTTTCTAATTGCTTCAATGTTGTTTGTTTCTCGTATCAAATTACCAGTTTGAGTTTATGATTATAATTTGATGGTAGATGTTTGTTTATTGATTTTGAATTTTGTTTGTTGATGTTGTTTTTGGTAGATGGATGCTAATTTCGTATCGGACATTAAAGAATGAAAAAATATGAACTTTTTTGGAATTCGTAAGAAAAATGGTCACAATTAGAAAAAATGTTAGTCTAAGAGAAGGTAAGTGAAGACAAATTCAATAGCCGTTTGGAACATTGGTATGACTTCATATCTTTTTTTTTAATCTTTTTGTTTTTGTAGATTGTGTTTATTGAATCAAGCTATTCCAAATGTTTATTATTTTCTTTTGTTTTTTCTTGTAAGAAAGGGATTGTTGGTTTTGTGTCCAAAACATTATACCTAAAAATTAGTTTTAATTTAAAATGTTTTTGTTTGTTTAAATTAAAAAAATCGTTTGTTGGTTTTTGAAAGAAGTTGGTTAGATTAAAAAAAATGGTTCTTAAATAAATTCTTGCTTATATCATGTTTGTAGAATTTTTTTGATAAACATTATTAGTAAAAAGTTACAAAAAAGTTAAGAAAAAATATAGTAAGAATAGTAAAACCAGTTTTAATAAAATATAAAATTTTGAAGCTATAACTATTTGGTAAATATTTTAAAACTATATCTATCTCGTAAATATATTTTTTTTCAAATACATCATTTTTTTTTCAAAAACTCCACTATTAGTTATGTAATGACAATTATCACAAAATGACAATCTTTATACAAAAACTAGGGGTATCGTGCCACCACTTCAAGAATAAGGGGCTATGGTGACAAAAAAACGACTTTTGTTGTCGCCACACATAAATGTAAAACGATGATATATTGTCACCATACAATTGACTAGACAAGTTTGACCTTTTAAGTTACAACGTCGATAAGTCTCAATATGTTATATGTTAGGCGGGAAAGAAAGTAAAATGTGCACATTTTTGAAAATCAAATAGAAGTAGAAGTGACTCCTTGATTCTTTTGATCCTCTTTGAATTATAGTCTGAAGTTCTTGCAAAAGCTCCCAAGAATCACCCCTCATAAACCACCTTTAGGAGAGTGTGTGTCAAAAAATGAAAGGAAAGAGTTGACTGTGACCCTTATGTTCGTTTCATGTTTAACTGAATCTGATTGCGACGCGTCACATAACTGTGTCTGGATCATAATTTTTGCTCACCTATTTACAATATGCATTGCCCTTTTTGTAATTGGAAATGATGGAATAACGAGCATAAAAATATAACCGCTTTCAAGCAGGCCCAACCCTAACGGTGGGCAACCCGGCGGTCGCCTAGGACCCATATCTTTAAGAGACCCAAAATCCTAGAGTATATGATATAATTATATGGAGAAAAAACCTATTTATTCAAAAATGTTATGGGCAATATTAGTTGTTTTTGTATGTTTTGACAATATTTATGTTTTTTAATATTAATAGTGAATTTTATAACGGTATGTCTATTTTCAATTTATTTTTTATTATATTTATGATTTTTGATGCTTATTTTTTTTTAATCTTGAGCCCGCTATATCTATGAACCGACCTTCAATTATCCTTTTTCTATATACTTTAAAGGCCTTTTATAAGCCTAATTTTGTAATCACATAATTTAACTTTCACAAATCAACAAAAAAAGGCTTGACAATCAATGGTGAGAAAGAAAATCACAAGTATCTTTTTGTACTTCTCTGATTCTAAAATTATGTTGGTAGATATATTTTGTATAGGAGTATAGGACTAGAAAACCACAAGTATCTTTTTGTACTTATCTAATTCTAAAATTATGTTGGGAGATATATTTTGTATAGGAGTATAGGACTAGACCTCCCCAAATCAAATAATCAATAAGCATGACCCGACATAATATCTTCACGCGACCCAACACAATGATTTAACCCGACCCGGTCAAGCTTACTAGTAGCTCCACTATGTCCTCGTAAAACCCTAAAATCGGACAACTCACCCACCATATATATTCATCTGTCATTCCCCCCAAATTCTTAGAAAGAGCGGGAAACATACGCAAACATAGATACACCTTAAACACACTCACTACAATTTCACAATCGCATTTTGCGGAGCTCGTTAAAAATGGAGAACATGATCGATCAAGATCAACAGTGGCTGATCAACTCACTGAATGCTACTCTTGATACTAATCAACAAGCTCGATCTTTCGCAGAGGCGTCTTTGAATCAGGCCTCCGTTCAACCTGGTATATTTATAATTCATTTATGTAAATTGTTTGATATACCAGGTTGTGTATGTCTTATCACTGTTGCAATTATTCTCTTTTCTACTGTTCAACTTTTTGGCTTAAGGTCCATCGTGCTTTATTGGTGTTTAATTGTCGGATAGTAGTAATTAGGAGAAAGAATCTTGGATTATTAGTATTACAATTAACATGTTCGTAAACATGAAGCTAATATGTGATTAGAAGGAGAAAGTATAAGTCTGTTTCTTAAATTGTTCTTACATACTGGCGATTCAAGAGGCCTTTTAACTTATATGTAATTGGCAACTCTTTTGGCCACCAAGCTTTAGGGGTCTTTGAATTCTGGTGATTAAAATTAACTTTTTGTAAAATTCAAGTGATTCTGACAAACCTTTGTTTATCAATTGGCTTGATTGTAACAACCAAAATTTCTTAACTCATCTTGATTAAATATTATTCTGAATCAAATTAACATGTCTTCTTATTAATAATGTCTGTTATTGCAAATCTTTGAAGGTTTTGGAAGCGCTTTATCCAAAATTGCTGCTAACAGGAATCTTCCTCTAGGATCTCGCCAAATATCCTTTTGCCATTGTTGACAAAGTTGTACATTGTCTTCCTTTTATTAAATTTGTTGTTCAATTCTGGTGTCACATTATTTACCCGATGATCAAAGTTTAATAACAAAATTATGAGGTTTTCTTGTATAATGATACATTTCAAATTGTTACCCTTGTGAGACTTAACCTGCTTTTACTTAGCTGCAGTTCTTCTTAAGCAGTTTATTAAGAAACACTGGCAGGAAGATGATGATGGTTTTGAACATCCTGTTGTTTCAAATGAGGAAAAGGTCACTGTCTTTTTCAAGTTATTACTATTCCATTTAATGCATTGAATATTCCTAATTATATGCTTTTTCCATTATCAGGCAATTGTACGTGGTCTTCTTTTGCTTTCACTTGATGACCCTCATAGAAAAATCTGCACAGCTATTAGTATGGCAGTTGCATCCGTGGCGTCTCATGATTGGCCAGATGAATGGCCTGAGTTACTTCCATTCTTAATGAAGTTAATTAATGATCAAAGTAATACAAATGCAGTGAATGGGGCTCTTAGATGTTTGGCTCTTCTCTCTGCTGATTTGGATGATAAATTAGTGCCCAAAATTATACCAGTTTTGTTCCCATGCTTGCATACTATTGTTTCATCACCACAGGTCAACTCTATTTTATAATTTTTAACTTATAAGTCAAACTTTCCATTTATGTGAGGCTTTTTTTTTACAGATATATGACAAACCATTGCGCACAAAGGCTCTTTCAATAGTCTATTCTTGTACATCCATGTTAGGGGTTATGAGTGGTGTGTACAAGGTACTTTCTTTCTGGACACTTACAATCCCAAGGGTCAAATTGGTCATTTTATTTGCTTTCTTTGATGAAAAGAATATATTTTTTAGACAGAAACAAGTGCATTGATGTTACCATTGGTCAAATCTTGGATGATTGAATTCTCTTCCATTCTTAAGAATCCTGTGCAATCTGAAGATCCAGATGATTGGAGTATCAGAATGGAGGTATTTATTCATTTCTTTTATTTTCTTTTTTGCATATTCTTTTAACCGAATGTAAACTCACTTTTCACTTTCTATTCCTCTATCAGACATTAAAGTGCTTGGGCCAATTTGTTCAGAACTTTCCAAGCCTAGCAGAAAGTCAGTTCATGGGTAAGTTTGTCTTTTTCCATTGTCTCCCTCTTGCCACGTCATCACTGCTATTATTCATAAAACTTAAAAAATTGTTTGTTTTTTTTTTTGTCAGAGGTTTTGGTTCCATTATGGCAAACATTTGTGTCATCTCTTGTTGTATATGAAAGATCTTCAATTGAAGGACTTGAAGATTCATATGAAGGAAGATATGATTCTGATGGCTCAGAAACAAGCCTTGAATCCTTCATCATTCAAGTAAAATTTTTATTTGTATTTAATTATTTATTGCTGTTGAATAACTTCTGCTGTGTTTTAACCTTTAACCTTTATGTTTTTATCTTTTTCTTTTCTTTTCTTTTGCAGTTGTTTGAGTTTCTATTAACAATTGTTGGTCATAAAAAGTTTGTGAAGGTAAATAAATCTTTTTACTCATTACAAGATTTCAATACATGATATATGATAATCTTCCTACATTTATTTTCAGGCTTTTGGAAATAGTATCCAGGATCTGGTCTACTATTCAATTGCTTTTATGCAAACGACTGAACAACAGGTAACTAACTTACATAATGTCTTATTTTGTAATATTATAACAAAAGTATCGTTTAAAATAATTAATATTAATTTACATTTTCTTGATCCAGGTCCATGCTTGGTCAATGGATGCTAATCAATATGTTGCTGATGAAGATGAAAACACTTACAGTTGTCGAGTTTCTGGTATTCATTTTCACTCATTTCCAATCCCTTTTCTTGTTTTTTCATCATTTAATATTAAAAAAAAATAACCATTATATCAACAGGCTCACTTTTGTTGGAGGAAATTGTAATTTCTTGTGGAATTGAGGGAGTTTATGCAATATTAAATGCTGCTAAACAAAGATTCGATGAATCTCAGCAACAAAGGCTTAAAGGCTCTGCTGATTGGTGGAGGGTATGCCTGAGTAAAATTTTATTTATATTTTTTATTCAAATCAACCCCCTTTATATATTTTCTTTATCATATATCTATTTAACAGATGAGGGAGGCTACACTTTTTGCTGTGTCATTTGTATCAGAACAATTGCTTGAAGTTGAGGTTAGTACTTTTTTTTTTTTTTTTTAATCTAATGAAGTTTATTATTAATAAAATCATAATATATTCTCTTTTATTTATTCTCAGGTTTCTGGGCCTTCAGGGGTCAATTTAGGAAACCTCTTGGAACAAACTTTCACTGAAGACATGGCATCAGGTAGAGTTTCAGTTAGTTATTATCTTGTCATTTCTTTTATATCATTAACATTCTAAACTAATCACTATTTTTAATGCAGGTGTCCATGAGTTTCCTTTTCTTTATGCTCGTATGTTTTCATCAATTGCTAAATTCTCATCAGTGGTAACTAACTAACTATTATTCTATTAAGATTATTCATGTATCTTGTTTCATATCCTTAACAACAATATTCTCATTTATATTTTATACTTTACAGATCAACAATGCTGTTATTGATCATTTCCTCTATGCTGCTATCCAAGCAATCGGCATGGACGTGTAATCTCCTATGTCATTTTACCTTTTTACCCTTATACCCTTCCTTTTCATGTTTAAATCACCAATTCTGATTTTTCATAAATTTTATTTCCAGCCCTGCCCCTGTCAAAGTCGGTGCATGTCGCTCCCTTTCTCAACTCTTACCAGACACAAACAGAGGAATACCTCAGCCTCATATATTAGCTCTATTTTCATCACTCACAGAACTTTTAAAACAAGTAATACAACATTTTAATTTTTAAATTTTCTTTTATTAATAAATTCAGAAATTTGTTTGTTAAACATGCATCACTTTCCAGGCATCCGATGAGACAATGCATCTTGTCCTTGAAACACTGCAAGCAGCTGTGAGGGCAGGTTGGTAATTTTGTATAATCGAGATTAATTTTTATTTCTCATTTTTCTAATGGAAGTTTTTTTTTTATTGTAGGGCATGAATCTGCATTATCCATAGAACCTGTTATTTCTCCTATTATACTTAACATGTGGGCTTTACATGTTTCTGACCCTTTCATAAGCATCGATGCACTTGATGTTCTTGAGGTAATTAATTTTATTAAAACAATAATTTAAAATATAAAAATAATAAGACATGATTGGCTGATTGCTTTTGGTTTTAACAATTATTATTTCATAACAGGCAATTAAAAATGCTCCTGGATGCGTTCATCCTCTCGTTTTACGTGTTTTGCCATACGTGGGACCCATCCTCAACAAAGTATGTTTGTTCAATTTTTTCTTAAAATAAACATCTAAATTATTTTTGACTTTTTGACTTTTTGACTCAAGTTACTTTTCCTTTTTGGTTCTTTTTTTTTTTCAGCCTCAACAGCAGCCTGATGGTTTAGTTGCTGGTTCATTGGATCTTTTGACAATGTTACTGAAGGCAAGTTATAGAAATTTACTAAAATACCCTTTATTGTTACATATTTGTATGACTTATTGGCTCTTGATATATCTAGAATGCACCTACTGATGTGGTGAAAGCAATTTATGAAGTGTGTTTCGATCCAGTTGTACGTACAGTTCTTCAAAGTGATGACCATGGTGAAATGCAGGTTATATACATAACATTGTAACAAATCTTCCCTTTTTGCCCATAATCCAAATGACAATTTTACCCTTTTTGTAACTCATTTTTTAGTTTCTGTTCATTGAATCAGAATGCAACTCAATGTCTTGCTGCTCTTGTCTCTGGTGGACAACAACAATTGCTCACATGGGGTGGTGATCCTGGTTTCACAATGAGATGTTTACTCGATGTAGCTTCAAGGTTAATACATGACACATAAAACGAAAAACTTTGACTTTTTTGTTAAGTCAACGTTAATCTTTGACTTTTTTTTGGCAGGCTTCTTGATCCAGATCTAGATAGTTCCGGATCCCTTTTTGTTGGGAACTATATTTTGCAACTTATTTTACATTTGTCCTCACAAATGGCACAACATATAAGAGACCTTGTTGCTGCTCTTGTTAGGCGAATGCAATCTTGCCAAATTGCTGGATTAAGAAGCTCATTACTTCTTATATTTGCAAGATTGGTAATTCTTATTATTATCATATCATTATTATTAGGGTATATTACATTTTGTTGTCTTTGGTCTACAAAAGTTTTTCTCTTGCAATTTCGTCTTATTTGAGGTTCTTATAACATTTTTGGTCTCTGTTCCAAGTAAAATGACTTTTTTTGGTACATAATTATACCTGATTTTTGCAATTTTGGTCCCAAAATTAGTCATTTTACTTGGATTAGGGAACAAAGACATTACAAAAACCTCAAATAAGGACCAAAATTGCAAAAGAAAACATTTTAGGATCAAAATTGTAAAATTAGCTATACTCGGGGACTAAAAATGAAATTTACTCATTATTATGATCAGAGTAAATTATAATATTGGTCCCTGCGTATCGTTTGTTTAAAAAAAAAATAGTTTTGGTCCTAAAAATAGTCATTTTACTCGATTAGGGGACCAAAACAGTTACAATAACCTTAAACAAGGACCAAAATTGCAATAGAAAACATTTTGAGACCAAAATTGAAAAATTAGCTATACTCGAGGACCAAAACTGTAAAGTACTCATTATTATCAGAGTAAAATAGTAAATTATATTTTTGGTCTCTGAGCATAGTGGTTTTTGTAATAAAATGACTGTTTTTTGCACCAAAATTGCAAAAAGAGGCTATACTCAAGTACAAAATATAGTCATTTATTTGGAACAGGCATCAAAAACGTTACAAAACCTACAAGAGAACTTTTTGGGACCAAAATTGCTAAAACCAGCTATGCTCAGGGACCAAAGTTGTAATTTAATCTTAATATAATTTTATGAGCTTATATTTTGGTTTTTGTGACACAGGTTCACATGAGCGCACCACATGTTGACCAGTTTATTAATTTACTAATCACAATCCCAGCTGAAGGCCACACCAATTCTTTACATTATGTGATGTCAGAATGGACCAAACAACAAGGTGAATATTATTTTTCATTATTTTTTTATTCATTGCAATTAAAAAAATCTAATAAAATTTTTTTGTAACTAATTACAGGGGAAATTCAAGGTGCATACCAAATTAAAATCACAACAACAGCTTTAGCTTTGTTATTATCAACCAGACATGTTGAATTTGGAAACATCAATGTTCAAGGCCATTTGATCAAGTCATCTGTAGGCATCACCACACGTTCAAAGTCCAAAGTTTCTCCTGATCAATGGACATTAATGCCCCTCCCTGCAAAGATTCTTGGTGTGCTGGCGGATGTGTTGCTTGAGATTCAAGAACAAATTGGAGAAGAAGACGATCAGGTAATTTTGATAGGTTTTGGTCAAACTCTAATACGCGTTTACAAATTTATAAAATTACGATATTGCCCTTGTAGGAAAGCGACTGGGAAGAAGTGGAAGCAGGAGATGCTGAAATAGAGCAAGATTTGCTTTATTCAACTGGTACTACATCGTATACCAGACCTTCAAATGGATATCTTGATGCCATGGCAAAAGCTTTCAATGAGGTCAAACTGAAAAGTCAATATATTTTTTACAAACTATTTTTTACATGGACTAATAAGTCATTTTACTTAACAGGATGATGATGATGGTTGTGATGATGAGCTACTATGTGCTGCTGATCCCCTCAATGAGGTTTACTTTTATAAAAAAAAAAATAGAAAATTCATGTTTTTATTTTCATAATTAAATAATTTTTCCATAACAATTTAATTTTCGTTTTGTAGATTAACTTGGGGAATTATCTCACCAATTTCTTTCGGGAGTTCTCTCAGGGAGACAAGCCTCTTTTTGATCATCTTTGCCAGGTTTCATTTCTTTACCTTTTTTTTTATTCCCATTTTGCCCATCTAGTTTATTAATCTCTGATTTGTTGTAATGTTTGTAGAGTTTGACACAGGCTCAGAAAAAAGCTGTACAAATGGTGGTGAGTCGATAATTGTACCATTAAATATTAATTGAAGATTTTTCTTTTTATATAATTTTTTTTTAAAAAAAATTTGTATGTATTTCTGCATACGAGGGGTGATAATGTAAACATCCGAGTTTGTACATTGCCGGTTTTTCGTCTCTATTTTTTTTGTGTCCTTGAGTGTTGGTATACAGAGTGTTGTTAAATTTCTTTGGGTAAATGTAATCACTGAAATTGTGAACATCTCTATAAAACTGCCATGTTTTTTTATTTATGGAAATTCTTTTTCAACGATGCAAAATCTATACATAATACACTGATCTGTGACTCATGATGAAATAACGTGCGGTCACATCATCTTATCATATTTAAAATAAAATATTTTTTGTATTTATATAATTTCTGTCTTTATATCTATTCCTTTTATTTAGTATATTATCAAAACCAACCTTTTACACGTGAATGTTTCTGTTCTATATCCCTATTTATTGATTTAAAACTTAAGTCTATTTAGATTATATAATAAATTAGTCATGTCATCGTTTAAAATGTGATTTCATTTCTATATGGTTTTGATTTTTTTTTGTTTGTTTATTTTGAAATAATATCAAAGTAGTTGTGAGACCTATTTATTACATGAGTTAATTTAAAAAAATAAAAAAATAAATATAAATGTTAAAATATTTGAGAACTTAAATTTATAAGAAAATAAGAAAAATAATGAATTATTATAATTGAAATGTTTTTTATTTTTTAAATTTAAACAAATAATATAAATAAATAAACAAAAAAAAACTAATAAGCTTTAATTTGGAAAATTTGAAATTAAAAAGTAAGTTCATTAATAAAATTGATATCCATTTATTACTATATTTATTGTAATTATTATATTAAAATATTATGTTAAATTTAATAAAATAGAAAAACTCATAATTAATAAAATAAAAAAACTCATAAAATGAGATGTGGAAAAAAATTGATTCAAAATAACCATAAAATGACATTTAGCAAATTGAATGAGTGTGTAACATATGACAAAACAACCTTCATTTATTAGAGTAGATATTTGTATTTATTGATTCTTTTGACTACATTCACTAAGAGTATAAGAATAAATTAGGCCATTTGTT